TTTACATAAAAAATCCAAATTGGTCATTTGACCCGGCTATTTTGGAAATTCTCCCCGACATTTTGTCGAAAAATGTAAATCGGATTCTTTTGCTACAGGGTTTGGGTGCTACGGGACGGACGTCGTGGAGAAATAACCTTGGATACTTGGCTACATTAAAGGGGAAAATTGCACCATCAGTCCCCAATGTATTGTCTAAGTAACTAATTAGTCCCAGCTTTTATCATTCACTTGAACCGTCCAAATCGTCGTTACTCTNCATCAGTCCCCAATGTATTGTCTAAGTAACTAATTAGTCCCAGCTTTTATCTTTCACTTGAACCGTCCAATTCGTCGTTACTCTGACTTGTGATCCTCGTAAAAGCAAAAAAATTTAGGTTTCAGTTAATGATGATTTGTAGTATAAAAATAATGGATATATGTCTAATAACAATTTTTGCTTTTACTTTATTTATTGTAAAGTATGATAAAGATTTGTTCAACAACAACAAAGTTGAGCCCCTATTTGGTGCACATTTTGGGAGTAAGAATGTATTTTTACTGTTGAAGTGATGGAGAATATGTGGTTGAAAAAGAAGAAAAAGTTATTGACGTGATGAAAAATATTATTTTATTGAAAAATATGTGGTTGAAAATGAGTAGAAGAATGAAAAAATTAATGTGGCTCAAACAGGGACTGAATATAAGTACGAGATCTTGTTCGTCCTCGACCAAATGTTGACAACGATGGTAGGAAATAGCTCCGATAAACCCCGATTATCCTCTCATGTTATAGGTATTGAGCTCCCCTAACACCAAAAGCAGGGACGGATGTAGGGAAGACTGGGCCGAGCAATAGCCCAGTCCAGTTCCCAGCCCACTTTGTAGTTTTGGTGTAAAAAGAGTATTTTTTTTACATACTCTCTCGACTTATTGTCCGATCTTGGATCCATTCCTAATTAAAAGCGAAAAGATCACTTTTCAATCTCGAGAAGCACCAGCTTCAAACAAGAAGAATGAAAAAAGATGGCAACTAGAGCATTGCTAATCACTGATGCACATTTCCTCATTTGAAGCTGAAAATGATGATACATGAGCCTGCTAATATGTTCTACATTACACACATAATGGGTCATTTATTTGAAATGTTCCTTTTTGTGTTTAAACTTGTTTAATCAAACTTATTGTCAAACATGGATGTCCATCCTTTTATAGCTCCACAAGATTACACACTACAACAAAAACTGCTTATGACAACGCGCAAAAAATGTTGCCATAGACTTTTGGCAACGTTTGGGTGCACGTTGTTGTGTTTGACGTT